TAGTGAATGCCACTAACAGTTCACAGTCTATCTGTGCATGAAGCTAGGGATTTTACAGTCATTTATTTACAACAGACGGCTCTTTTGACACATACAGGCCTTGGAGCTACAAAGAGCTCTGGACAGGAGGATCGATGTGTCTATGGGGTGCCCCATTGACTTCAGTGCAGCTCTTCATAAATGTAGTGATCTGCTTATGTAGATCTGATTGCAGTATCCGGGTGGCAGTCTAATAGACTGTGAAATAATTTCCCACGGGAAGTAGTTGAGCCTCATCCTGGCTGCATTTACAACTAGATAGGACAAACACCAGAAAATGTACAACAGTGAATAATTTTGCATTGCAAGGTTACGGACTACAGCTAATAGATCTTTTTCATCTCTAGATTATTTGATTCTATGATATAATGGAGGAAATATAACATCACTGTATAGTGTAACATTGATAGTTAAAAGAAAAGGAGTACTTGTGGCACCTTAGAGACTAACCAATTTATTTGAGCATGAGCTTTCGTGAGCTACATGAGCTGTAGCTCACGAAAGCTCATGCTCAAATAAATTGGTTAGTCTCTAAGGTGCCACAAGTACTCCTTTTCTTTTTGCGAATACAGACTAACACCGCTGTTACTCTGAAACCTGTCATTGATAGTTAATTGGGTTGATTGGAAGATACCCTACTAAGACTAAGTAAGATACCCTACTACCTAACTAAATTGGGTTAATTGGAAGATACCCTACTAAGATACCCTACTAAGACTACTGTTTACTATTTTACTAGGGCAAATGCTCTTGGGAATATTATAGTATTAAATAACAAATAATACCTTATGCTTATTATATATATCAGCTTTAATTATGAAGAATTGTGTGGGTGCTGTAGCATGTTAAATTTAGCATTAAAATGGTACAAAGGCATAGGTGCTGGAACTAGGAGTGCTGATGCACCCCCTGTCTTGAAGTAGTAATAACCAATCCAAATACAATGTCTTCCGCCTTCAGCACCTCCATTATAAAAATTGTTCCAGCACCACTGCGCAAAGATGTTATTCATCTTGCTGCAGTTTCTTTGCTTTCCAAGAGTTGTAATATAGTTGTGAAGGACTCACTCTTTGTTGAATTTTGCTCATATCTTCATAGGAGTACGTAATTCCTCTGAATGCAAATAGTGTATGCATGAAAAATTATATGCTCTGAGAAGGCACAGTATCATGTTGCATCAGATCTTTTTAAATGATTAGTATCAAAATAAAATATCAGTTTATTAAATACTTTTACATATATGCGTAACTCAAAGAATCATTGGTTTAAAAAATAATCCCACAATCAAGCTCTGGAGTAGTTTTTGTCTTTTAAGTGGTACAATTGACTTCAATGGAACTACTATGGGGAGAAAAATTATTCCAGAGCATAAATGATTGCAGTATTGGACCCTAAACTGGTCAACAGTAATTGATCCATATATAATCACTATGGCCTTGTATGAACTAGAAAAATTATATTTTTTTAATTTAAGTTTGCTCAATGGAACTAGTTCAATTCAGCTGAAAATCTCATTTACCACCAATCTAGATTAAGTTGTTACACTGTCTACACTAGTGTTAAGCCTGGTTTTCAATTGAGCTACACTACTTTGATTGCGCTAACTCAATTGAAACAAACATCTTTTTTCAATCTAGGAAAGGTCTACGTGAGCGAGGTTTGAAATAAATGATTCAGTCTGAGAATTTTTCACACCAATGAGATTTCTTGGTAATCCTCTCATTCTTGTCTAAAGTATGTGTAATATTGTCAGAGTAGTATCAAATGCTTTAATTCTTATTTATCAAAGGTTTCAAATGGAATGAACAGAACATGGCAATTGTCCATCTATGCATCCCATTGTCCAGTCTATGCATCTAGCAGTCAAAGGCTTAGGGACACCGAGAGCACGGGGTTGCAGCTGTGACCATCTTTGCTTATAGCTTATAGCCATATTTTTTTAATCCAGTTATAGTTTTGGTCATGACAACATCCCCCGGGAGTGAGTTCCACAGGTTGACTGTGTTACGAATTACACCTGGTAGGACACGCACACAACTGCTGTGAATTATACCTTGTAGGACACGCACACCAATGCTACGAATTACACCTGATAGGACACGCACACCAATGCTGCGAATTATACCTGATAGGACATGCACACCAATGCTGCGAATTATACCAGATAGGTCACGCACAGTTCGAACCTAGGCTGAGGCACAGAAACAAAGTCCACAACTGCAGAGTTCCCAAAAGACACTAAGTTTATTACGCTTGAGCGTGGTGCCCCCCTGCTAGCCGGGGGGGACCCTGAATACAGATTTTACAAAGGTTATATACTTTTTAGCAAAGCATGTTGCCCTCGTGCATCGGAAACCTTAGCCAATAAACAAACCCTTGTCTTATCTACCACCTATCCCTGCTTGGTGCATTCCTCGTGCTATACCAGTATGTTAATTACACAGCATGGTCCTAAAGCCATGCATCAGTAACTTTTATTATCAGGATGGGAGGCCTCACATCAAGGCCAAGAGACAGTGAGTTAGAGACTGACAAAAACGAGATACTGGGAGTCAAGCCAGGCTGGAGACAAGGAGGAGGATTTTCACAGGGATTCAGTGTCTAAGGATCACTCCTCCTGGTGTATGATGTGCTGGCATTTAAACAATGGTGGGCCCCAAACCAAAATGGAGTCACATGTGCTAACTTTTCCTTAACAACTGTGCATTGTGTGAAATACTTCCTTTTATTTTAAACCTGCTGCCTATTAATTTTATTTGTTGACCTTCAATTCTTGTGTTCTGCAAAGGGCTAAATAACACTTCCTTATTTACTTTCTCCACAGCATTCATAAGTTTATAGACCTCTATAATTGTCTCTTTTCCAAGATGAAGTCCCAGTCTTTTTAATCTCTCCTCAGGTAGAAGCTGTTCCATACCCTTAATAGTTTTTGTTGCCCTTCTCTATACTTTTTCCATTTATAATTTTTTTGAGATGCCTTGCATAATGACAGGTTTCAGAGTAACAGTCGTGTTAGTCTGTATTCGCAAAAAGAAAAGTAGTACTTGTGGCACCTTACAGACTAACCAATTTATTTGAGCATAAGCTTTCATGAGCTACAGCATCTGATGAAGTGAGCTGTAGCTCACGAAAGCTTATGCTCAAATAAATTGGTTAGTCTCTAAGGTGCCACAAGTACTCCTTTTCTTTTTTGGGATGGGTGACCAAAACTGCGTGCGGTATTCAAGGTGTGGATGATTTATATAGTAGCGTTATGATATTTTCTGTTTTCTTATATATTCCTTTCCTAATGGTTTCTAACATTCTATTAGCTTGACTGCCACTGCACATTGAGCGAATGTTTTCAGAGAACTATCCATGATTATTCCAAGATCTCTTTCTTCAATGGTAACAGCTAATTTAGACCCCATCATTTTGTCTATAGTTAGGATTATACTTTTCACTATACATTACTTTGCATGTATCAACATTGAATTTAAAATGCCATTTTTGTTGCTCAGTCACCTAGTTTTGTGAGATCTGTTTGTAACTCTTCACAGTCTGCTTTGGACTTAACCATCTTGTAACTGAAAACACAGTACTTTTCAGTTAGCATTGGGGCACATTCTGCACTAATACATATACTGCATATAACCACTGTCATCAAAGGTCTGCACGGGGGCAACAAATAGCACTGAATTTGTCCCATGGCACAGATTATAAATAAGACCTCAACAGCAATTGATTTGCTGACAAATTAGTGTAGGGTGGCTTTCCCACGAAAGCTTATGCCCAAATAAATGTGTTTGTCTGTAAGGTGCCACAAGTACTCCTTTTTCCAGAAACTGTCACACATGCAGCTTGTCTTGAGGAAATATACAATGTATAGACTTTACTTTGGGTAAATTATTATTTGAAAAATTAACGTTGTCACCCAAGAATGCAGAATCATCACATAACTGTATGCCATCACACGATTTGGCTATTTTCTCTCACAGACCAAATACGGAAAGGGGTGAGGCTGCATCAGTGGAACACCAAAATATGTGTGTGAGAAAGTGCTTGGGGGATAATATCCCGTTTCTAGTGATGTTCTAGTAAAACATTGCCCAAACCAGGCATTGTCTGGCTAACGGAGCCGAGGCAAACGCTGACTTTCAGGTTGGGGTTTATTTATTTATCTGAATTTAGTTCTGGGTTCCGGTCCCCCCGCCAAACCTGCAGACGCAGGTCAGATCCAGGCTTCCTAAGAGCTGGGGTTTCCCTCACATGTCTCTCCGTAAACACGCTCTGCCCTGTGCGTGACTTTACACAGCTGCTCTGTGTGTGTGTGTGTGTGTGTGCGTGTGCAGCCACCAGCGCACGGAGCCGTGCCGCACCCCCGGCTGCAGCGGCGACCCGCCGTCTTTCTCTCGCGCACGGGAGGCGCAGGGAAGTGCGGGGCCTGGTGCGGCGCGCTGTCTGAGCGCCATGGCGCAGCTCCCACTGGCGGCGGCGGGCCCGGCCGGAGGCGGCGGGCTCGGGCTCCAGGCGGTCACGGCCCCGGATCCCCGGCCTGCGCGGAGGTGAGTAGGGCCGGGCAGGCGGGCAACCGAGCCCCCGCCGCCCATCTACAGGCGTACGCGATCCTGGGGCAGCCCCCGCCCGGGCCGAGCCCGTTTACCGGCCCGGTGGGGGAAGGGGGGGCGCGTTTCATCCCGTGGGGGGGAGGGGCAGCGCGGCCCCGAGCCCGCTAGCGCTCTGTGTCGATTTTGGGGGGGGGGGGTGGACTCGGTGCAGCAACATGGCTGCCGGGGCCCATCCCCCTCCCCAGGCACCTGCGGGGGGAGGGGAACGTCCACGGTCCCCTCCCCCCCACTAGAGAGAGGCTGCGCTCTATGGTTCCCTGTGGGGGCAGAGCGGCTGATTGACGTCCCGTCATGCCTCTGGTTCCACAGAGGGCGACCAATGGCGGGAGGGCATAAAGGGACCGCGTCCGCGGCGGGGGCTGGCCCGTGGCTTCTTGCAGTGGTGCATTGTGGGGTAGTGGAGGACCCGCGTTGCGGATGGAGGGGGAGTCGAGCCGTGGGGCTGTCATGGCGACTAACATCGAGCAGATCTTTCGGTCCTTTGTGGTCAGCAAGTTCCGGGAGATCCAGGAGGAGCAGGAGCAGCAGCAGCAGCTGGGCGGGTAACGAGCCGGCTCGGGGCCGTGGGAGAGGCGAAGTGGGACGGGAGCCTAGTGTGAGCGGAGTCGGGGTGGGGGCGGGGAGAGGTGTCTGGGGGCAGTTGCGGGATGGGGGCAGTGGGTGGGAGGGAGGATGGGGGCGGGGAGGGATAACTAGGGGACAGTTGAGGGGGAGGGGCAGTCTCGGGACGGGGGAGGGGCGGCCGTTGCGGGTCACTCGAACATACGGGGCCTGGCCCGGCGCTCAGCGGCGACATCCGGTTACGGGGCCACCAGGCCGCTGCCCCTCCGGGCGGTCCAGCTTTTCAGTGAAAATAACAAGTTTGGATGGGCTAATTTCGCAATGCTCTGATGCGCCTCACAACACGTGCACGCTGGTGTGTTTTCAGTCTGAAAAAGAGTGCTTGGTGGGATGGGATTTTTTTGGGGGGGGTGGTGGTGGGGGCGGGGAGAGAAGAGGGAAACGAAATTTCTGTGTTGTGAAAAGGCCTGGGATGAAACAGTGAGAAAATATTTTCTTCCCTTTGGCATAGTTCTAGTGGCTAACAAAGTATTTTGTCTAAGAACGCAGTAAGTAAAACAAACCAAAAGATGAATATTTCACTAAAGTGCAAGGCCTCTTCAGGAGGCCAAAATATTCTTTAGAAGGTTTGGCTGTAAGAAATGTGAATACATTACCTTTTAAAAAAATAAAAATAAAGCTCGAAATTACTTGAATTTTGTTAATATTTTTCTTGGTTAGTGGAAAGGTAGAAGGCCAGCAGAATGGTGAAACAATCCCAGCTGAGCAAGCAAACACTTCAGATGACACAGTTACGGGTGCTGGGAGTCTTCAGAATGATCAGATAGTTCAGAAAATAGAGGAAGTACTGTCTGGGGCCCTTGATACAGAGCTACAGTGTAAATCAGGTAAATGAAAATGCTTAAACATTGCAAATATGTTTTTCTTCAAGGGGACACTATAAAGAGTAAATCTAGTCAGTTTTTTGAAAATTAAATAAAAGTTTCCAGTGCCACTCTTGCCATGCACTTCCCTGATACTTTTTAAATGGTTTTATAATATTTTTACAAAGGATTTTGTCTCCCCCTCATAGTGCTGATAAACCTACACAAAATTGGTCTGACAAACATGTATTCTATAAACTCTGAAACTGATTATCCACATAGTGCTGTCAAGTGCACAAATTAAGAGAAAAGTAATCTTCCCCTCTTATTTCTTTGTTATAGTAGTAATCAATTTTATTTGTGACAGTAACAGGATAAAAAAAATCAGAGAATATAATTTTTTTTCTTAGTTGACAAGTGTCTCTTTAAAGATTACTTTTGAAATAAGGCATGTGACAATTCATAAGTATCTTCTTCAAGGCATTGTTGTGCAGTTCTAACTCTGGCAGAACTTACTGAAACTAATGGAAGTTTTGCCTGAGTAAGGTCTATAGGATTACTCCTTACATCGTTTATCAAACTACAAAATTGTATGGCTAGGTATATTAATCAGATAGCAAGGTATGAAATAAAGTAATTCCTTGGTGGTGGTATTAGTGAATAATGTACTTATAATTGGAAAAAAACAGGCATTCAGCTTTCAGTTGCTTCAAATGTAATACACTAAATAAAATGGCTGTATAGACCCTCTGATAACAATGAATCCAGCAAAAACGAGTCCTGCAAGCATTGTCTACATTTGAGTAGTTACAGTGATTTCAATGGGATATTCACATGAATAAAGTTACTTGTGTATGTAAGTGTTGGCAGTATTGGGGTCCTACTTGGTTACAAAAATGCATTTTCATTGTCACGGAAATGAGAGGACGGCTGTGCACTTGGTAAGTATATATTCTAAGTGTTTCCACAGAAGACAATGTAGAACTTTGTGGTTGATCTTTGATGTGAATAATCTCAAAGGCTACATTTGCAATTTTTTCTGATGTTCCTTCTTTCCATAATGTACTATGGCTTTTCTACATTGAGCATTTTCAGAAATCTTCCTTGCAGTTGGTGTAGAACTGGTGTTGGTCGAATAGTACAAGGAACAGGAGGCGCACTAGTGCAAACTGGGCATTCGTGTTTTTAAAACTTGTCTAATTCTTCTCAAAAGAAGACTAGATAATTTGGTAGTAAAAAGACTTGCAACCATTATGTGATAATGCTCCCATCAGTAATAGTAAAGGTGAAGCTACAGCAGTGATTTGGGATTTATTGAAAAAGTTGTGCAGAAAAGGACACTGATGCTATATTATTGATACTCTTCATGGCATTCAAAGGAACATGGATAGAAATACCATTTTTAAAAATTAAAATACTTAGCTAATATAGTCCATAGTGATACAAACACTCGTGTGTAAAGTTACGTGCATGTTTTCTTGATCAGGGACATATGCGTTTTATAGTATGCCCATCATCATAGTATCTGAATGTTTACTTTTTATATCAACTCTTTTATTCCAAGATCACTTTCTCCTTTTAAGTATTGTTTTGAGGATAGAAGTAAATCATAGTCCTGTGATATAGCTTAGGGTTGCTGAGTTGCTGCAACGTACAAAAAATTTTTTTCAGTGCAATCATTTTTTTAAAGGAACCCGGCAGACTAGAATTATATACTGTATTAAAAATGATGTGCTTACTAATAACACTTTAGCGCCCAATTCTGCAAGTATTTACATGCTTACCTCACATGCCATTGGTTTCAGTGGCACTACTCAGTGCATAGTTAAGCACATGTGTAAATCTTTGCAGGATTGAGGCGTACTTAAGTGGGCTTTAAGATGTTTGTATACCTCACTATTTAAGCTTTTTGTGTATTTCTCAAGTTCTCTCAGACTTGGTAATGAAAGCTAGTGAATTTGAATTCAGTTTTATTTTTAGCTTCTGATCATTTTTTTGCTCGTCTTCATGTACAAGCAAATGCTGCAATGTGTGGTTGCAAAATTTTTATTTTATTTTTTTAAGAAACAGTGTTTCAATTGGAATTAATAAATAACCTTGAGAAATTTTCTTAAATGTTTAAGGCTTTTTAAACATACACATTCAATTTTAGGAAAATGTTGACCTGTCACTTAAAAAAATCTTAAAGACATGTATTTTAACAACTAAAGTAAAAGTTTTGTTGAAGTCTTTTTATTGGATCATGCAAATGGCACATTTTCTTTCCAGTTGTGTAATTTTGTAAGGTGTGCTATTTTTTTCAGGAATAGTCTTTGCTGTCTTCCATTCATTATAAGTGTTTTAGCTACTGATCAAAGGTCAGTTGCTATCACATTATCTTGACAGTCTTATTTGTTGTTTTAAGTGTAGAAATCCTAGCAAAAAATTGGCAAGAGGCAGTTTGAAGATTGGTTTAATGTTTTTGAAAGCTAAATTTTTGTTTTTTACCCAAACATTTGAAGCTCCTACTGAGGGAAAATGTAACTCGTGATGTATATCAGGAAAAAAATGTTGACTTCAGGTTGTGTATAACTTTATGTGCACCTGTGCCCAAATACTGGTTTAAAATATTTATATTTGAATGTCTTTTTATAAAATTAGTTTTAAATAAATTTCTCTATTTTTTTTAGGTGTAGAGGAAGATTCAGTGAAAAATAGCTCTCCCTGTACAAAAAGAGGCCCCACTGACGAAGTAGAAGATGAAATTCCAAGAAAAAAGTCAAAAAAGAACAAAAAACACAAAAGCAAGAAGAAGAAGAAGAAAAAGAAGAAGAAAAGGAAGAAAGAAAAAAAACATAAAAAGCAGCTAAAGGAATCAAAATTAAGTGCACAGTATGGAGAGCATGCAGATTTACAACCTGCTTCTCACTCAAAGACAGAAAAATTGGGCTCAAAGTTGATCACACGGCATGGAGGACATGCAGATTCAGATCTTGGTGGTCAAATGCAGCCAGAAGAATTGGGCACAAAATTGAGTGCAGAGTACATGGGACATTCAATTAAAAGACTCACACCTCTTTTGCTATCAGATTCTGAATCATCTGTGGAAAAACTTGGGAGAGAAAAAACTAACTTGGCCTTGACTGATACACACAGTACATTCAATTCAGAAACCAGCAAATTGGATACCCAGGAAGAAAATACTAGTACAATGAAAATTCAAGAGCAAGCTAATGTAAAATTATTGGTGAATAAGACTCATGAAAGTATATATCATATAGCTTTTAATATGAAAGCAAAGGATGAACCTTTACCAGTTAAAGACACTGAAAATGGTACTGTGTCTACCAACAGAACTGGAGTTGCTGGTAAATCTGAAATTGAAAAGGATTTGGAAGCTGCTCCAGCCTCTGAGATAACTGAAGAACTAAAAGATTCAGAAGCTACTCTGGAATCGATGGGCATGGTGGAGGCAACCTTAGAATCTGAGACCATGGCAAAGATTAAATGTTCAGAAGCAATTCTAAAATCTCTGACTATGACTTCAGAGGGTTTGGATGCCCCTCTAGAATCCGTAGCCATAGCGGAGCTGAAAGCAACTGGAGAATCTGTGGCTATGACAAATGATTTGGTAGTAACTCCAACATCTGAAGTTATAATGGAGATGAAAGCTTTGGAAGAAACCGCAGGATCTGTTGTCTTGACAGATATGAAAGGTTTGGAAACAACTCTAGAAACTGTGGGTGTGGCTGAGGCAAAAAGTTTGGAAGGAGGTCTAGAATTTGTGACTGTGCCAGATGATTTAGTAGCGACTTCAAAATCTGTGGCCGAGGCAGAGGTGAATGATTTGGAAGCAACTCCAAAATCTGTGTCTGTGGTGAAGGTGAAAGGTTCAGAAGCTGCTCTAGAACCTGTGGCCATGCAGGAGGCAAAAGATTTGGAAAGAACCCTAGAATCTGTTGCCCTGGGGAAAGGTTCACAAACAACCCTAGAACCTGTTGGGAATGCGAAAGATTTGGAAGCAGCTCTAAAACTTGTGGTGGAGATGAAAGGTTTGGAAGTAACTCCAGAATCTCTGCACATGGAGGAGGTGAAAGGTGCAGAAGGAGCCCTAGAATCTGTGGCTATGGCAATAGATTTGGAAGGAACCCTCAAACTTGCTCCTGTGGGAGAGGCAAAAGATTCAGATGCAGCATCACTGTCTCCGCAAATGGAAGATATGAAAGATTCAAAAGGATTCCTAGAATCTGTAGCCGTGACAAAAGGTCCAGAAACAATCCTAGACCCCGTAGGGGTGGCAGAAGGTCTAGAAACAATCCTAGAACCTGCAGAGGTGGCAGAGGAGAAAAATTTGGAAGGAATTCCAGAATCTCTGCACATACAGGATATGGAAGATTTGGAAGCATCCTTAGAACCTGTAGTCATGAGAACAGGTCTGGAAGTGGCTCTAGAACATGTGGCTGTGGTGAAAGGTGTAGAAGCAACTCCACTTTCTATGCAAATGGAAGAAGTGAAAGATTTGGAAGGAGCCCTAGTAGAATCTGTGGCAGTGACAAAAGGTTCAGAAGCAGCCCTAGAACATGTTGTTGTCTTGGCAGAGAAGAAAGGTATGGAACCAACTTCGCTATCTCTGCAAATGGAAGATGTGAAAGATTCAGAAGGAGCCCTAGAATCTATTGTCATGGAAGAAGGCTCAGAAGCAACCCAGGGACCAGTGACAGAGGCAAAAGACTTGGAAGCAATCCTAAAATCTGTTTCGGAGGTGAGAGGTTCAGAACCAGCACCACTGTCTCTGCAGATGGAAGATGTGAAAGGTTCAGAAGGAGGTGTAAAATCTTTGGCCGTGGCAAAAGGTTCAAAACCAACCCTGAAAGCTGTGGCTGTGGGGGAGGGAAGAGGTTCAGAAGCAACTCTGCTGTCTCTGGAAGTGGAGAATGTGAAAGATGATGAGGAAGCCTTAGAATCTGTGGCCCGGGCAATAGATTCAGAACCAACCTTAGAACCTGTGGCCATTGTAGAGGCTAAAGGTCTGGAAGCAGTTCTGTCTCTGCAAATGGAGAATGTGAAAGATTCAGAAGGAGCCCTAGAATCTGTGGCCATGGCAAAAGATTTAGAGGCACCTCCAGAACCTGTGGCAGAGGTGAAAGATTCGGAAGCAATGCTTCAGTCTCTGCAAATGGAAGATGTGAAAGAATTAGAAGGAACCCTAGAATCTGTTGTGGTGACAAAAAGTTTGGAAGCAACCCTAGGGCCTGTGGCGGAGGAGAAAGGTGCAGAAACACCTCCACTATCTCTGCAAATAGAAGATGTGACAGAATCAGAAGGAGTTCTAGAATCTATGTCTGTGGTGAAGTTGAAGGCTTTGGAAGCAGCCTTTGAGTCGGTAGTCATGGTAGAGGTGAAGGATTTAAATAAACCTGTACAAGCTGAGTCTGAGGTCACAGCTCAGTTTAAAGATTTGGAAGCAATTCCCAAATTTCTGTGCATGGAGGGAGATTTGGTAATAACTCCAGAATCTGAGATAACATCAGAAGTGAAAAACTTGGAAATAATTGGACAATCCGAATTGCTGGCAGAAGTGAAAGATTTGGAAACCACCCCAGAATCTGAGGCAGTGGCAGAGTCAAAGGATTCAGAAACAACTACAGAATCTCAGGTGGTGATGGAAGTGAAAGATTTGGAAACCATTCCACGATCCCAAGTCATGACAGAAGTAAGTGACTTGAAAATATCTCCACGTACTGAGGTGGAGGTGATGAAAGGTTTTGAAACAGCTACAAAGTCTGATGCCACTATAATGGAGGTGGAAGATTCTGAATCAACTCTGGAATCTAGGGCAGTAGTTAAGGTGAAAGATCCGGAAGCCACACCGGAATCTGAGGCAATAACAGGCATAAAATATTCTAAAAAAATTATAGAATCTGAGGCCACCGCAGAGTTGAAACATTCAGAAGCTAGTCCAGAATCTTTACAGTCGACAGACTTGAAAGATTCTGGAAAAACTCCAGAACCTGAGGTGATTCTGCAAATGAAAGATTCAAAAACAACTAAAAAATCTGAGCCCATCGCTCTGGTGAAAGATTCTGAAGCTAGTAGAGAATTGCTACATATAGTGGTAAAAAATGTGCAATCAACTCCAGAATCTGAGACTGTGGCAGTCGTGAAAGATTTGAAGGAAACTCTAGAGTGTGAGATGGTGGTGGCAAAAGATTTGGAAACAACCCTAAAATCTGAAGCAATCATGGATGTAAAGCATTCTAAAGCTGCTCCAGAATCTTTGTATAAAGCAAAGGTAAAGGATTCAGAAGCAGTCCCAGAATCTCTCTACTCATCGAAGGTGAAAGTTGCTGAATTAGCTCTAGAATTGGAGGCAGCAGCAAAGGTGAAGGATTTGAAAGAAACCCTAGAATCTAAGGTCATGGTAGACGTGAAAGATTTGGAAGCTGCTTCAGAATCTGTGATCAGGATGAAGGTAAAAGATTTGGAAGAAATTCCAGAACATTGGCAACCAGTGGATGTGAAAGTTTTGGAAGCATCTCCGGAATCTGAGAAAACAGTGGAAGTAAAATATTCAGAAGCAACTCCAGAAACTCAGGTGTTGACAGAGACGAAAGATTTGGAAGAAACTCTGGAATCTCTGTACACTGCAGAGGTGGAGGCGTTGGAAAAAATTACAGAATCTATGCCAATGGTAGAGGTGAAAGAATCTGAGGCTGTGATGGATCTGAAATTCGCAGCAACAACTCTAAAATCTGAGAAAACAGTGGAGGTGAAAATTTTGGAAGATACTCCAGAATTCTTGACAGTGGAAAAGATAAATTCAAAAGCGTGTCTCGAATTTCTGCACTCTGAGGAAATGAAAGATTTAGAAGCAGATGTAGAAGCTGAGGCTTCAACGGATCTGAAGGATATGGAAGGAACTTTGGGCACTGCACAGGTGAAATATTCAGAAGCAGTTTTGAAATCTGTGGGCATAGCAGAGAGAAAACATTTGGGAACAACTGTAGAAAATCCTAATGCAGTGCTAGATTTGGAACCGGTTTCAGACTCTCAGCATACTGTGGATCTGAAATTTCCAGAAACTCCTCAGATTCCTGAGTTAAAAGTGGAGGTGAAAGATTCTGAAGCAGCTCTAGAATCTGAGACTATTACAGAGGCAAATGACTTGCAAGCTACTCCAGAGTCTGTGGCCACAGTGGAGGTGAAAAATTTGAAAGCAGTTCCAGATTCTCTTCACGCAGTACACATGAATAATTTGGAAGCAACTCCGGAATTGGTGGCAGCTGCAGAGATGAAAGATTTGGACGCAGTTCCTGAATCTGTGGTGGTGCTGGCAGAGGTGAAAGATTTGGAAGTAGTTTCAGATTCTCTGCATACTGTAGGTGTGAAAGATTTGGAAACAGCTCCAGAATCTGTGGCGATAGTAGCAGAGGTGAAGGATTTACAAGCAGCTCCAGAATCGGCAGCAGTGGTGAAAGATTTGGAAGCAGCTCCAGAATATGTGGTGATGCTGGCAGAGGTGAAAGATTCAGAAGTAGTTCCAGTTTCTCTGCATACCATAGATGTGAAAGATTTTGAAACAACTCCAGAATCTGTGGTAGTGGCTGAAGAGGTGAAAGATTTGGAAGGAGCTCCAGAATCTGTTGTGACAGCAGCAAAATTTAAATACTCAGAAACAACTCCAGAATCTGTGGTGGTGACTGCAGAAATGAAAGATTTGGAAGCAGCTCTGAAATCTGTGGTGGTGGCAGAGGTGAAGGATTTGAGAGCAGCTCCAGAATCTTTGGCAGCAGAGGTGACAGATTTGGAAGCAGTGCTAGATATTCTGCGTCCTGTAGATGTGAAAGATTCTGAAACAGCTCCAGAATCTGTGGTGGTGGCTGAAGAGATCAAAGATTTGGAAGCAGTGCCAGATGTTCTGCATACTGTAGATGTGAAAGATTCTGAAACAAGTACAGAATCTCTGCTGGTGTCTTCAGAGGTGAAAGATTCAGAAACTGCTCCAGAATCTGTTGTGACAATGGCAGAATTGAAATATTCAGAAACAAGTCCAGAATCTGTGGTGGCTACTGCAGAAGTGAAAGATTTAGAAGCAGTTCTGGAATCTGTGGCAGAGATGAAGGATTTGGAGTCTGCTCCAGATGCTGTGGTGGCGGCGGCAGAGGTGAAAGATTTGAAAGCATCTCCAGAATCTTTGGCAGCAGAAGTGACAGATTTGGAAGCAGCTCCAGATTTTCTGTGTATTGTAGATGTGAAAGATTCTGGAACAATTACAGAATCTGTGATAGCGACTGAAGAGGTGACAGATTTGGAAGCAGCTCCAGATTTCCTGTGTACTGTAGATGTGAAAGATTCTGAAAGAACTCCACAATCTGTGGTAGTGGCTGCAGAGATGAAGGATTCTGAAACAGTTCCAGAATTGGTGGCAGAGGTAAAATACTCAGAAACAAGTCCGGAATATGTGGTAGTGGCAGCAGAGGTGACAGATTTGGAAGCAGCACCAGAATCTATGGTGACAGTGACAGAGGTGAAAGATTTGCAAGCTGTTCCCGTTTCTCTGGTGTTGGTGGCAGATGTAGAAGATTCAGAAGGAGCTAGTGAGTCTCTGCATGCTGTAGATATGAATGATTCAGAAGCAGCTCCAAAATCTGTGGGGTTGGCTGCAGAGATGAAAGATTTGGAAGAAGCTCCAGAATCTGTGGTGGCCATGGCAGAGGTGAAAAATATGGAAGCACCTCCAGGTTCTTGGTATACAGCATATGTTAAAGATTCAGAAACAACTCAGGAATCTGTGGCAGTGACAGCAGATGTGAATGATTTGGAAGCAACTCCAGCATTTAGGGTGGTGGCTGCAGAGGCGAAAGATTCAGAAGCAGCTTCGGAATCTGTGGTGGTAGCGGCAGAGGGGAAGGATTTGCAAGCTGCTCCAGATTCTCTGGTGGTGGAGACAGAGATAGAAGATTCAGAAGCAGTGAGTGTTTCTCTGCATACTTTAGATGTGAATGATTTAGAAGCAACTCGAGAATCCGTGGAGGCTACGGCAGAGATGAAAAATTTGGAGGCAGCTCCAGATTCTCTGTATACGTTGTACGTTAAAGATTCAGAAACAACTCAAGAATCTGGGGGAGTGAGAGCAGAGGTGAATGATTTGGAAGCAACTCCAGCCTTTGGGGCAGTGGCAGCAGCGGCAAAAGATTTGGGAGCTCCTCCAGAATTGGTGGCGGCTGTGGCAGCGGTGGAAGTTTCAGGAGCACCTCCAGAATTGGCGGCGGCTGTGGCAGAGGCAAAAGATTCCAGAGTGGCTCCAGGATCTGTGACTGTAGTGAAGGAAAGCGATGAAGATCTTTTTAAAAAAAAGAAAGCATATGAAAAAAGTAACAAGAGTAGTGATAAAAATAAACAAGATGCAAAGAAATTAAAAAGGAGTAAATCTAAATCTCTTTCACGATCCAGGAAGCGGAAAAAGAAGTCCAGGTCACGTTCTGTCTCTAAACATTTGAAATGTAAAAGAGCAAGGTCTAGGAGCAGAAACTACTCAGATTCCAGAAAGAAACGTTCCACATCTTACGACAAGTCTAGATCCAGATCTGTTGAAAAAGGAAGGGGCAAAGACTCTTCCTGGAGGTCCAGACGCAGGCGCTCCAGGTCCTCTGATGGTCTCAAGTCAAGATCCAGATCCATTGATAAAAGGGAAGGCAAAGACTCTTCCTGGAGGTCCAGACGTAGGCGCTCCAGGTCCTCTGATCATCTCAAGTCTAAATCCAGATCTGTTGAAAAAAGAGAGGGCAAAGATTCTTCACGGAAGTCTAGACGCAGACGCTCTAAGTCATCTGATCGTTTCAAGTCTAGATCCCGATCTGTTGAAAAAAGAGAGCGCAAAGACTCTTCACGGCGGTCTAGACGCAGACGCTCCAAGTCCTTGGATCGTCTCAAGTCTAGATCCAGATCCAGGTCTGTTGGAAAAAAAGGGCACAAAAGCTCTTCATGGAGGTCCAGACGCAGACGCTCCAAGTCCTCTGATCGTCTCAAATCTAGATCCAGATCTGTTGAAAAAAGAGAGCGCAAAGACTCTTCACGGAGGTCTAGACGCAGACGCTCCAAGTCCTCTGATCGTCTCAAGTCCAGATCCAGATCCTTTTGAAAAAAAGGGTGGCAAAGAATCTTCCTGGAGATCCAGACGCAGACGCTCCAAGTCCTCTGATCGTTTCAAGTCCAGATCCAGATCTTTTGAAAAAAGAGGTGGCAAAGAATCTTCCTGGAGGTCCAGACGCAGACGTTCCAAGTCCTCTGATCGTCTCAAATCAAAATCCAGATCCAGATCTTTTGAAAAAAGGGGTGGCAAAGCATCTTCCTGGAGGTCTAGACGCAGACGCTCTAAGTCTTCTGATCGTCTCAAATCAAAATCCAGATCCAGATCTGTTGAAAAAAGAAGTGGCAAAGGGTCTTCGTGGAGGTCCAGACGCAGACGCTCCAAATCATCTGATCGTCTCAAGTCAAGATCGATATCTGTTGAAAAAAGAGGGGGCAGGGACTCTTCATGGAGGTCTAAACGTAGACGCTCCAAGTCCTCGGATCGTCTCAAATCTAGATCGAGATCTGTTGAAAAAAGAGGCGGCAGAGACTCTTCACGGAGGTCTAAACGTAGACGCTCCAAATCCACTGATCATCACAGGTCTAGATCCAAATCTGTTGAAAAAATAGGTAGTAAAGAGTCTTCACGGAGGTCTAAACGTAGACGTTCCAAGTCCTCTGATCGTCTCAAATCTAGATCCAAATCTATTGAAAAACTGGGAAGCAAAGAGTCTTCATGGAGGTCCAGACGCAGATGCTCGAAATCCTTTGATGATCTAAAGTCTAGATCTAGATCCAAATCTGTTGAAAAAGGAGAGAGTAAGGAATCTTCATGGAGATCTAGAAGTAAACGCTCCAAGTCCTTTGAACGTCACAAATTGAGATCTAAATCTGTTGAAAAAATAGAGGGAAAAGATTCTTCACAGAGATCTCGAAAGAGCCACTCCAAGTCTTCTGAACGTCACAAGTCCAGTTCCAAATCTGTTGAAGAAATAGAGGCTCAGGAGCCTTCACAGAGGTCTCGAAGTAGCCGCTCGAAGTCTTTTGAACGTCACACATCTGGATCCAAATCTGTCGAAGAAATAGAGGGAAAAGAATCTTCATTGAGGTCTCGAAGTAGCCGCTCTAAGTCTTCTGAACGTAACAAATCCAGATCCAAACCTGTTGAAGAAATAGAGGCTCAGGAGCCTTCACAGAGGTCTCGAAGTAGCCGCTCGAAGTCTTTTGAACGTCACACATCTGGATCCAAATCTGTCGAAGAAATAGAGGGAAAAGAATCTTCACCGAGGTCTCGAAGTAGCCGCTCCAAGTCTTCTGAACGTAACAAATCCAAATCTGTTGAAGAAATAGAGGCTCAGGAGCCTTCACAGAGGTCTCAAAGTAGCTGCTCCAAGTCTTCTGAATGTCACACGTATAGATCTAAATCTGTTGAAGAAATAGTGGTTCAGGAGCCTTCAAAGAGGTTTCGAAGTAGCCGCTCCAAGTCCTTGGAACATCACATGTCTAGATCCAAATCAGTTGAAGAAATAGAGGGCAAAGAATTTTCACAGAGGTCTCGAAGTAGCCGGTCCAAGTCTTCTGAACGTCACGAGTCCAGATCCAAATCTGTTGAACAAGTGGAGGTGCCGAAGCCTTCAGGGATGTCTCGAAGTAGCCGTTCCAAGTCTTTTGAACATCTCCACTGCAGATCCAAATCTGTTGCAGGAATAGAGATGCAGAAGCTTTCACAAAGCTTTCAAAGTAGCCTCTCCAAGTCTTCTGAATGTGTCACATCTGAATCCAAATCTGTTCAAGAAATAGAGGCTCAGGAGCCTGCAGAGAGGTCTCGAAGCAGCTGCTCCAAGTCTCCTGAACTTCAAAAGTCTAGATCCAAATCTGTTGAAAAAATAGAGGGCAAAGATTCTTCACAGAGGTCTCGAAGTAGCCGCTCCAGATCTTCTGAGCGTCACAGGTCTAGATCCAAATCTGTTGAAAAAATAGAGGGCAAAGATTCTTCACAGAGATCTCGAAGTAGCCGCTCCAGGTCTTCTGAACGTCCCAGATCTAGATCCAAATCTGTTGAAGAAATAGAGGTTGAGGAGCCTTCACAGAGGTCTCGAGGTAGCCGTTCCAGATCTTCTGAACGTCACAAGTCCAGATCCAAATCTGTTGAGGAAATAGAGGTGGAGGAGCCTTCACAGAGGTCTCGAAGTAGCCGCTCCAGATCTTCTGAACGTCACAAGTCCAGATCCAAATCTGTTGAGGAAATAGAGGTGGAGGAGCCTTCACAGAGGTCTCGAAGTAGCCGCTCCAGATCTTCTGAACGTCACAAGTCCAGATCCAAATCTGTTGAGGAAATAGAGGTGGAGGAGCCTCCACAGAGGTCTCGAAGTAGCCGCTCCAAGTCTTCTGAAAGACACAAGTCTAGATCCAAATCTGTTGAGGAAATAGAGGTGGAGGAGCCTTCACAGAGGTCTCGAAGTAGCCGCTCCAAGTCTTCTGAAAGACACAAGTCTAGATCCAAATCTGTTGAGGAAATAGAGGTTGAGGAGCCTTCACAGAGGTCTCGAAGTAGCCGCTCCAGATCTTCTGAACGTCACACATCTAGATCCAAATCTGTTGAAAAAATAGAGGGAAAAGATTCTTCACAGAGATCTCGAAAGAGCCGCTCCAAGTCTTCTGAACGTCACAAGTCCAGATCCAAATCTGTTGAAAAAATAGAAGCCAAAGATTCTTCACAGAGATCTCGCAGGAGCCGCTCCAAGTCTTCTGAACGTCACAAGTCCAGATCCAAATCTGTTGAGGAAATACAGGTTCAGGAGCCTTCACAGAGGTCTCGAAGTAGCCGCTCCAAGTCTTCTGAACGTCACAAGTCCAGATCCAAATCTGTTGAGGAAATACAGGTTCAGGAGCCTTCACAGAGGTCTCGAAGTAGCCGCTCCAGATCTTCTGAACGTCACACGTCTAGATCCAAATCTGTTGAAAAAATAGAGGGAAAAGATTCTTCACAGAGATCTCGAAAGAGCCGCTCCAAGTCTTCTGAACGTCACAAGTCCAGATCCAAATCTGTTGAAAAAATAGAAGCCAAAGATTCTTCACAGAGATCTCGAAGGAGCCGCTCCAAGTCTTCTGAACGTCACAAATCTAGATCCAATTCTGTTGAGGAAATAGAAATGGAGGAGCCTTCACAGAGGTCTCGAAGTAGCCGCTCCAAGTCTTCTGAACGTCACAAGTCCAGATCCAAATCTGTTGAGGAAATACAGGTTCAGGAGCGTTCACAGAGGTCTCGAAGTAGCCGCTCCAGATCTTCTGAACGTCACACGTCTAGATCCAAATCTGTTGAAAAAATAGAGGGAAAAGATTCTTCACAGAGATCTCGAAGTAGCCGCTCCAAATCTTCTGAACGTCACAAATCTAGATCCAATTCTGTTGAAGAAATAGAGGTTGAGGAGCCTTCACAGAGGTCTCGAAGAAGCCGCTCCAAGTCTTCTGAAAGACGCAAGTCCAGATCCAAATCTGTTGAGGAAATAGTGGTTGAGGAGCCTTCAGAGAGGTCTCGGAGCCGCTCCAAGTCTTCTGAACGTCACACGTCTAGATCGAAATCTGTTGAAAAAATAGAGGGAAAAGATTCTTCTCTGAGGTCTCGAAGTAGCCGCTCCAAGTCTTCTGAACGTCACAAATCTAGATCCAATTCTGTTGAAGAAATAGAGGTTGAGGAGCCTTCACAGAGGTCTCGAAGTAGCCGCTCCAAGTCTTCTGAAAGATACAAGTCCAGATCCAAATCTGTTGAGGAAATAGTGGTTGAGGAGCCTTCACAGAGATCTCGAAGTAGCCGCTCCAAGTCTTCTGAACGTCACGAGTCCAGATCCAATTCTGTTGAAGAAATAGAGGTTGAGGAGCCTTCACAGAGGTCTCGAAGAAGCCGCTCCAAGTCTTCTGAAAGACACAAGTCCAGATCCAAATCTGTTGAGGAAATAGTGGTTGAGGAGCCTTCAGAGAGGTCTCGGAGCCGCTCCAAGTCTTCTGAACGTCACACGTCTAGATCGAAATCTGTTGAAAAAATAGAGGGAAAAGATTCTTCTCTGAGGTCTCGAAGTAGCCGCTCCAAGTCTTCTGAACGTCACAAATCTAGATCCAATTCTGTTGAAGAAATAGAGGTTGAGGAGCCTTCACAGAGGTCTCGAAGTAGCCGCTCCAAGTCTTCTGAACGTCACAAGTCCAGATCCAAATCTGTTGAAGAAATGGAGGTTCAGGAGTCTTCACAGAGGTCTCGAAGTAGCCGCTCCAAGTCTTCTGAACGTCACGAGTCCAGATCCAAATCTGTTGAAGAAATGGAGGTTCAGGAGTCTTCACAGAGGTCTCGAAGTAGCCGGTCCAAGTCTTCTGAACGTCATGAGTCCAGATCCAAATCTGTTGAAAAAATGGAGGTTCAGGAGTCTTCACAGAGGTCTCGAAGTAGCCGGTCCAAGTCTTCTGAACGTCACGAGTCCAGATCCAAATCTGTTGAAGAAATAGAGATTCAGGAGCCTTCACAAAGGTCTCGGAGTAGCGGCTCCAAGTCTCCTGAACTTCAGCACTCTAGATCCAAATCTGTTGAAAAAATTGAGGGCAAAGATTCTTCTCTGAGGTCTCGAAGTAGCCGCTCCAAGTCTCCTGAACTTCAACACTCTAGATCCAAATCTGTTGAAAAAATTGAGGGCAAAGATTCTTCTCTGAGGTCTCGGAGTAGCCGCTCCAAGTCTCCTGAACTTCAAAAGTCTAGATCCAAATCTGTTGAAAAAATTGAGGGCAAAGTTTCTTCACGGAAGTCTCGGAGTAGCCGCTCCAAGTCTCCTGAACTTCAAAAGTCTAGATCCAAATCCGTTGAAAAAATAAAGGGCAAAGTGTCTTCACAGAGGTCTCGGAGTAGCCGCTCCAAGTCTCCTGAACTTCAGAAGTCTAGATCGAAATCTGTTGAAAAAATAAAGGGCAAAGTGTCTTCACAAAGGTCTAGAAGAAAACGCTCCAAGTCTTCTGAACGTCACAAATCTAGATCCAAATCAGTTGAAAAAGTAGAGGGGAAAGAGTCTTCACAGAGGTCTAGAAGTAAGCGCTCTAAATCCTCTGAGCGCAAATCACAAAAACATGATAGCGAATTGCGGTCTAGACGAAATCGGTCTCGGTCAGTAACACGTAAAAGACTCTCAAAATCTAAATCTAATCATCGGTCTCGGACACGCTCCCTGTCACGTTCAAGACACAGGAGGAGGACTCGGTCAAGATCAGCGTCAAAAAGGAGACGGTCTTTATCAAGAGAGAGACACAAAAGATCTCAAAGGAACAGATCAAGGTCTGCTGATCGACGAAGGAGGAGATCAAACTCAAGGGATCACCGAATAGTGCTCAGGTTACGGACCAGAAGTCGAACACCTATTCGACGAAAACGGTCTAGGTCAGTGGGAAGAAGACGAAGCTCTAGCAAATCACCAGTTCGACTAAGGAGATCAAGATCACCTGGGAGAAGAAGATGCTATAGCAGATCACCTGATCGTCAAAGAAGGTCCAGGTCATCTGATAAGTTTTCAAGCAGATCACCTAAACGTCTTACAGATTTAGGTAAGTAATGCTCTTTTCGTCAATCATTTTCATGGCTGCGTAGTGTTGACCTATGTAAACTTCATCCTACCTCTGATAAAGATAATACAGTGCAACCTTAGCATTCATCAGGAATCTCTTCGAAGTAATTTTAAGCAATTGTTTAATTTTAATAGACTTTCTGTTGGCATTGAGTATGCACTTATAGGGGATTCAAGTGTGTAGTCTGATTGAAAATGCAGCAGAAAAATGTAAAGGGTACAGGATTTTACAGGTTATTCCACATAGGCAGACCCATGATGAACCCTGGGGTTATGAGTCTATGCAGGTGCACAAGGATTTGCCCACACACATTGTAATCATAGGATCAAGGCCTTAATGTTTTTATTAAGATGCAGTGATTCATCAGATTTGTTTTTTTTCCAAGAGCATATAGCACATTATTTAAGAAAGTGGAAAACAAAATATACATGTGGGAGTCCTCTACGGTCAACATAATGTTTCTTTGCCAGTCATATTAATTCTCTTACCTCATTCACAGCTTCTGTGTTGCTGTTCAAAACTACTTCCTACTTATATGAAAACAGGCAGGACTGAGCAAGTAATCTGGTTAACAAAGGATGTGAGCTAGAGGATTCATGTGATGCACTCCAAATTTCCATGGGGGTTGAGGAGGAAAAATCTAGTAACTATCCCTTGCTTACTCCCCTTAGGAGCTGAGCTTGCCTGTATTGAGACTAGTTCTTTTAAGGTAGAACCCTTTAAGGATGCTGGGCTGAAATTTCTGAGTATATTGAATAGATCTACTCACTTTGCCACCATGTATAGGTTGTCAGGGTCCCTATATTCTATTCTGTATCACATAGTAAGGTGGCGATATATGGCTACAACTAGCTGGTTTCCAAGTTGTTAAGCAGCAATCCATTATGTTAACTACACGTTTCCACATAAGACTGGCGACTGAGGCAGCCTTAGTCAGAGGCAAGACTCAAGACACCTGGGATGTTATTCCAGATGCTGGAAAGCTGTAGTATGGAAGTTCATTGCTCCTCATTGATTGCTGCCTGCATCAGGAATGACTTCCAGATCAAGATGTGGAAGACGACTTACCTAGAAATGTGAGGAACTTAAAACTCTTTATTGAGGGCATGACCATAACCTAACATCACATATACGATATAGCACTGAAAACGGCTCTTCAACTGTGTGGCAAGATGCAACAGATTTTGAGAATCTGATATGACTGGGGATGTCTCCTTACAGAACAATGGAGACCAACCAAAAATTAAGGCTAAAAGCAGTAATATCACACACTGTTTTCTTGGGTCCTCAGCCTCTTTCCTGCCACAAGGAACAGAGCTCCAATTTATTATCCTTGGGGAAGAGGAGGAATCCCCACTGTGAAGAATTGTAGTGAGGAGTTGATATTTCTTGAGTTTCTTTTTTGCTATTGGTTATTTAGATGTAATAGTTATTTTGGTCAGTAGCTGAAAGAAACTTCAGTATACTCCCACCCTAAAATAAAGAAGTCACTTATATATTTTCTTTGCTTTATCTGTTCCTTTCCATTCTCCCTGATCTTTTGAATAGTTTTGTTTCTGTTCCTTATGTGTGTGCTCTGCTTCCTGATTTCACCTTGGGCCACATCTTATGCCCCTCACTTCACTCCTTTGTATTCTCCCTCTCTCAGCCACATTACAGGTGCCAGAGTAGCTTTATATTCAAAGCATTTAGGGAGGGAGGCAAATTCTTAAATTGTTCCCAACCCCAGCTAGTCTCACTGCTTGAAGAAATGAGAGGATGAAGAGTTGAACAGCTCAGCATGCTGACTTGTCCCCCCCATTCCACATTGTTGGAGCTAGTGGAGGGAGAAAATATCTGGAAACAAGAGCTGGTTTAGCGTGAGCAGAGATGTAGCCCCTACTCAGCATGTTCAGCTTTTCCTGGTGGAGTGAGAGCATTTTTTGGGGAGGTGAGCTTCCGCTGTTGCAAATTCACTTAGACCTTCATTTGGAGGCCTTTCTGTAGCTGCAAGCTGTGAAGCTCTGTGATCTTCTTTTTCATTGCTTAAAAAGTAAGGGGAATCTCATCCTGATATGCGAGGGTTTACCTGTGTAACTCTTTCCTTAAGGTGGTGATACTTCATTTATTTGGTTGTTGCAGGATTTTTTGAAAAACAGTTTGAATCACAATTATTAGAATATACAAATATGCTTTGTGTATTTCCATTACCTGACTCCTCTACACATTAGAAACCACATTTATTATTTTCCATGAAAAAGCAAAATCCTGTCATGTTTAAAAATTTTTAATATGTAGTAATTTTCTTAACAGTTTGAGATATATATTCATAGTGTTTAACCTATGACATAAAATGCTTGTTAACTTCCTGATCGTTTTGGTTATAGTCTGTATATTTAATATTGTCCTTTTTAGTTGACTTTCAGTGTTTGAGATATTATTTCCAGGAATGGTTTAAAAGTGAGCAGCAAAGGATTTCAGAAGAATTGGGCTTGTGCCCCATTTTCGTTTTTTTATGACTTTTCTCCCTCACTTTTACTTGAGAAATATCAGGAGTGTCAACTCTGGTCTTCCATAGTTTTTGTGGGAGGACCTTTCCCATGTCTTCGAGGATGAGTATTGTGAACTTTCACCTTAATATAAGAGGCAATGATGTTGACTCTTTAAACAGTATCTCCAAAATATTAATTAGTCAATTAAGTTAAGTAGGCATTGACCAAAACACACTCTCACACAAAATCTGGAATTTTAGGTAGTCTTAAGGACTTCTTCCTTCCCTTCTCAGTTCTTATCTTTCATGTTTTCTCACTCTCTTGTAAAGTTTTTGTTTCACTGTTTCTCATGTCTCACAGACCTGAATTTCTAAAGTAAGGACCAAGCAGAAAAAACTAACACTTTTTTTGGTGGGGGGAACCCTTCAGGCCTTCTTTTATACAACATAAAGAAGCAAAAATAAAAAAAATGCACAGATGCAGTTTTTTCCTCCTGTGCAAGTCTCTTTAATTATATGACTCCTGTGATATGAAGGAAAAGTGAATGGAATGTTCCATGTTACTTTTAAAAATACACAACATATTATTCACACTTTATATATGTGTGTGCACTGTTTTTATTTTCATAAAGTTTGTTTGGCCTGGTGGAAAAACGGATTTACTGTTGCAACTGGTCCTAAAATTATTATATATGTATATCTATACATATACGTTGGCCTTCAGAAATCTTTAAAGGCCCACTAATTAATATTTAATATTCTTATAGACAAGGCCCAGCTACTTGAAATAGCCAAAGCTAATGCAGCTGCCATGTGTGCTAAGGCTGGTGTCCCCTTACCACCAAGCCTACTGCCTATTATAGCTCCAGCAAAGAAGGAGGAGAAAGTTACTCAGAAGTCAGCAAGAGATACAATAAAGGAGCTCACTGAGGTAAGCAAATTAAATTTGAAAATAACTAACCAACTGCTACTGTTAATAAGTAGGTATCTGGTCAAGCTGTAATTCTATATGTTTAATTCTCATGAAAGTCTGCTTGTAGGAAGACTGCAAGATTGAACCCTAATTGTTTAGTGTGTTCTCTTCACAGCTTATATTAATATGGAAAATTTAATATTTGTTGTCTTACAGCATTGTCACTGACTTATAATTTAAAAATATAAAAATTTCACAATTTGTACTCAGTCAAATTCTATCCTTTACTGCACATATTCAGCTCCTCTCAGTTTTGGTGAGACTTACCTATGCGTTCCCAAGGACAGAATTTGATGATTAAAATTATGACCTGTACCACTTGCAGTATGTTAAAGTTCTTTTTACTCAGATCACAAAAGAAATCTTTGCACCTTGTTTCTTCTGTCACAGGAAACTTCATGCAGTCTGATTTTGCCTAGTTCTGGGATATGTTCTCATGTTTTCACACTGAAAAATTTCTATTCAAAGGTGCCATTGTGACATTTTAAAAACTATCACAGTTCTGACATCTAAGCTTTTTTATAAAATAAAATCATAATTTTAGTGTTCATGGAAAAGATGCCATTTCACATAAATAAAGACTGAAATTTGACTCTTCACATATTAGGTATAACATGGTATAGTGGCAGTGCAGGCTTCCCCACATTGCCCCACCACACACATGTGCTTCAACCTTGTCTTGGAGGGACTTGACATAAATAGTAGCACAGTCTCCAAGTCTATTCAGTTTTTGGTTTCTGCTGAGACTGACAAGAAGTGTGCCATTGCAATGGTAGTTTTTGTGATATGGCTTCTTCTCAACTCCAAATAGGCCATCAAACAATCATCAAATGGTTACAACTTCTGATTGCTATTGATACGAACTGGAGTTTAACCAATAAGTTATAGATGATTGGATCTAAATCTTTTTATCAATCTCCTGAGCCATGTAATGTCTCCAATTTGTTACTAATATTTAATGATGAATGGTCACATAGCAATAACTCATTGCCACTATTTTCTCTGCTCCTTTTCATGACAGAAAAACACCATTAATTATTTTGGCTGTCAGAATTTCCAACTTTATAATGTTCTCAAACTCACTTCAAACCAATGCATTTACAAATACCTCTGGAGCAAAAAGTACAAGCCAGTCTATAAATAATAAATAGTAATTTGTTATTAAATGCTAGTCCACCAGTTGTTTTCAGGAAGCTGTCTCTTCTCTGATATTCCAGTCATACTGTTACTGCCTACCCTAAAGTTGCTTTTACATATTCCTGGAAGAGTAACAACTTGGACTGCCACACAGATTTGTTCTGAGCACCTCCCCACTTACTGTACGTTTTTAGGTTGCACTTCCACAGTACGCAAAATGGGATTGTCCTGTTCAGTTCTTGTAACCTGCAAAACATTTCAGAGGTGTCCCAATCTTTCTTTTAAAACCCTTGCACCTGGGAAGATTTCTGCACCACCAGTGAAAACCAGTAATTGTTTCTTGGGTTTTTCCTTGCAGTCATTTTGTGTGAAAATTTTGCAGGCCAACTAAATAAGTGAGCTGTCTATTATTATTTTATTTTATTTTATTTTATTTTATTATTATTACTACTACTACTATTATTAAACATTTATGTTGTGGTGCCTAAAAGCCCCAATCAGGAGAGGGGCCCCACTGTCCTGGGTTCTAGTGCTGATACAAGCACACAGTAAGAGACAGTCTGTGCTTTTGAAGAGCTCATAATTTTAGCCCTGGATCCTGCAAATAGCTCCATGCAGCCCCCTTTGATTATAGTAGGGCTCTGGATGGATGTAAGAGTAGAGCTCAAAGCCTATCTAGACAAGATGGACACACTTCAGTAGATAGATGAGGTACAAATAAAATGGCAAAGTTGACTTTTTTTAAAGATTTCCCCAAACGATCAACTCCTCCTTTATAATTCTTTTATTCCTGATTTTAAATATTTATTTCAATGAATTTGTCAGAAAGTCCTATTTCTTGTAGAAATAAGGAATGTTTCTGTCCAGATGTTCAGATTGATTCAGAATTTATTTTTTGGTAGAAATGCAAGAAGATTGCACAAAGCACAGATGACGTGATCGTGAACAAGCCTCATGATTCTGATGAAGAGGAGGAAGAACGCCCTTTCTACAATCATCCTTTTAAACTCAATGAACCCAAACCCATTTTTTTCAACTTAAATGTAAGTACTTTCATCAATTATAGATTATAAGTTTTAATTTTGTTTTATTTTAGCAAACTTATGTAGGTATGGGAAAAACAAATTCGGTGACCCTTATCAATGGAGGAAATTTTAGTTTATTACAGGATTATAGTTTTAATCTTGATATGGATTTGCAACGGAATGTTAACAAAATTTCAACAACAACATGCCTATTTGAATGCCATAGTAAGAGACTGGTCCAAAACCCAGTGAAGTTCATGGCCAAGTTAAGAGAAACTTTTGGTGCTAGATTAAAACTCACTGTTTTTCTTTCTAGAGACATTGTCTGATTAAAATTAATATATTTAAAAACAACTGATTTCCTTTAACTAACAGTTTTTTAAAGCTAGTTTTTCAGTATTTATAGTAGAACCTGAGAGTCACAGACACCTTGGGAATGGAGGTTATCCGTGGCTCCAAAATGTTCGTAACTCTGAACAAAACGCAGCTCCAGCAGTGCACGCTCCACGCCAGGCTCCAGAGGCAGCTAGGCACTTCCTTGCAGGCAGCTTCTTTCCCAGCCTGGGCAAGCTTGTTCCCCTCCCGACTGGGGTGTGGGGGATGGGAGGGTGAAAACAGCACCTGTGGCTTACAGGAAAGCAGCGCAGACCCCAGTGCTGCTCCTGCTCTGGCTGCCTTGGGCTGGCAGCAGGGGCTCACAGCTTTGCCTGCGAATTTCAGTGTCTTCAACTCCTAGCTGTAAGTGGGTGTCCGGCATGTTGGGGTAGGGGTGGGGACAGACAGCCCAGATGAGCCTATCTTTAAGATGCAATACAGGCAAAATACAGTATTTGCCCTCTTTTTTTTTTTTTTAAAGAATAAACTGGGCTGATAATGAATGCTGTAAATTATTGAGGTTGCCTGACGCTTCCCATTATAGGATCATGGTTTTGGTTGCTTATAACTTTGCCAAACTTTAAGCATTTGGGCTGCAGTTTTTCATGCCAGATGGCTGCCTAAGGCTGAATATTCTTTTCTGGAAAATTTCAACCAAAATAGTAAAGCTGTTTCCAAAAATGAACCTAGGGAAAATGCACTTTTTTTGCCCATGTTAGAAGATTCTAACAACTATGTGGGGTTTTTTTGTTGTTGTTTTTTGAACAGCTTTAGCACCCCTATGCTTTGAATCAGAGACTTGAAATTTAACAAGGATTTGACCTTTTTATTAGGGATGTGCCTCTTGCTATGTCCTTGAAAATCTGACCAAATATGGCCACATTATAACCCTTTGAAAAATCTTACTTCACACATGCTCAGTAGAGATTTCTTCATATTTCATCTAAAATCTCTGAAAATTTTATCCTTACTGAGAATGCCTGAATCTCTCTCAGCTCCTGGTGCTGACTAGGCTTCACAGGGTGTGGCGGTCAAAGTCCTGAAGAATATAAAATACCGTACAATTAAATGAAATATTATGTTTTTAAGGCTGGTATTATTTGTTACCCAGATAAGGCTCAGAATAATAAATTAGGCAATGTAACTGTGTAGAGACAGATACATATATACAGAAAACTAGCATGTAGCCTTTCGTAATGCTGCTTATTTAATACAGCTCTCATGCTAGCAGCAGGTACTTTATAGTTTAGAATGCAAATAAATTTTTGTTACGGTTTCATGTTTTCATATGCTCAAAATGTTCTGAAGTATTCACCTTTGGGGTAAAATTTTCCCTGTTTGGCTTCTCCCCAAAAATGGATTTTTTTATTTTTTGAAAGATTGGAGAAAATACCTTCAGCTGTTCTTTCAGGTTTGCGTGAGTGGAAAGAAAATGAAATATAGGGCATTTTTTCCACTTTAAAACATTCTTGAATATGTGGAAAACTTGTGACTGAGGTTTGACATATAAAACTTGGCATGTGTATAATTTAGGGCTGTCAAGTGATTAAAAAAAATTAACCACAATTAATCATGCGATTAAATAATAATAAATACCATTTATATAAATATTTTTGGATGTTTTCCACATTTTTAAATATATTGATTTCTATTACAACACAGAATACAAAGTGTACAGTGCTCACTTTATTTTTATTTTTGATTACAAGTATTTGCACTGTAAAAATGATAAAAGAAATAGTATTTTTCATTTCCCCTAATACAAGTGCTGTAGTGCAATCTATTTATCATGAAAGTTGAACTTACAGGTTATATACAAAAAATAACTGCATTCAAAAATAAAACCATGTAAAACTTGAGCCTACAAGTCCACTCAGTCCTACGTCTTCTCAGCCAATCGCTCAGACAAACAAGTTTTTTTACATTTGCAGGAGATAATGCTGTCTGCTTCTTCTTTATGATGTCACCTGAAAATGAGAACAGGCATTCGCGTGGCACTGTTGTAGCCGGCTTTGCCAAATGTTTACGTGCCAGATGCGCTAAAGATTCATATGTCCCTTCGTGCTTCAAGCACCATTCCAGAGAACATGCGTCCATGCTGATGATGGGTTCTGCTAGATAACGATCCAAAGCAGTGCAGACCAACGCATGTTTATTTTCATCATCTGAGTCAGATGTCACCAGCAGAAGGTTGATTTTCTCTTTTGGTGGTTTGGGTTCTGTAGTTTCCATGTCGGAGTGTTGCTCTTTTAAGAATTCTGAAAGCATGCTCCACACCTTATCCCTCTCAGATTTTGGCAGCCCAGATTCTTGAACCTGGGGTTGAGTGCTGTAGCTATCTTTAGAAATCTCACATTGGTACTTTCTCTGAGTTTTGTCACATCTGCAGTGAAAGTGGTGTTAAAACGAACAACATGTTGGGTCATCATCTGAGACTGCTATAACTGCTATAAATATATGGCAGAATGTGGGTAAAACACACAGCAGGAGACATACAGTTCTCCCCCAAGGAGTTCAGTCACAAATTTAATTAACACATGATTTTTTTAACAAGCGTCATCAGCATGGAAGCATGTCCTCTGGAATGGTGGCCAAGCATGAAGGGGCATACAAATGTTTAGCATGTCTGTCACTTAAATACCTTGCAGTGACTGCTACAAAAGTGCCATGTGAAAATCTGTTCTCACTTTCAGGTGACATTGTAAATGTACATTATCTCCTATAAATGTAAACAAACTTGTTTCTCTTAGCGATTGGCTGCAAAAGAAATAGGACTGAGTGGACTTGTAGGCGCTGAAGTTTTACATGTTTTGTTTTTCAGTGCAGTTATGTAACCAAAAAAAAAAAAATCTACATTTGTAAGTTGCGCTTTCATGATAAAGAGATTGCACTATGGTACTTGTATGAGGTGAAATGAAAAATACTATTTTATCATTTTTGCAGTGCAAATATTTGTAATAAATAATATAAAGTGAGCAGTGTACACTTTGTATAGTTTGTTGTAATTGAAATCAATATATTTGAAAATGTAGAAAAACATCCAAAATATTTAATAAATTTCAATTGGTATTGTTTAACAGTGCGATCAAAACTGATTAATTGTGATTAATTTTTTTGAGTTAATTGCGTTAGTTAACTGCAATTAATTGACAGCTCTAGTATAATTACTGAGGACTATTCACATTGGTTGGTTTCATTTTCATCTACTAAAGTTAGGAGCATTTAAAAAATGCATATTGAGCACATGCAGTAGCTTTCTGTTATAACACTGGGAGGTGTACACTTAAATGCAGAGAGCATGCATTCTCAGCTTAGGAACGGCATGCTTTTCAAAACTCGTTTAAAAGTTTAGTCTGAGTGCTCCTTGTTGATCTGCACCCTACCAATTCTTGTCTAACCTTCACCCGCTTTGTACACCTTTCACAAAGCTTGAAGTGATCTAAATGTGTGGATCAATTTTAGCTGCCTAATGTGATTTAAAGGTTTAGATCAATTTAAACTGCAAAAAACCCATAATTTATTGAAATGGAGCAGCTGGAGTACTATCCAGGTGGGCATAGTTAAGCTCTTAAAAGTCTGGGATAATAAAAGTTAACCTTAATTCTGCCTCTTCTTTTAAATTCAAGACAATACGTTATCTTAGGTGCATATATCTAAAGTGTATTTTTTCAATTGATAACCTAATTATGTGATTGCCTGCTATTTGCATAAAGAGGCAGAGTCAAGGTTGCATGGTTAACCTTAATTTTCATGTTTCTTGATTTTTGTTTGCCTTAATATTGCACTAATATAGTTTTTTCTATTTATAATGTATGTTGTCTGGAAATAAATTTAAAGGTGGGTGATTAGGACACCAACTGAAGCAAGATTGTTTTACAGTCCCTCTAACTCTCCAATTACCAGTATCAAATATATTTTTAGCCAGTTTAGAATTAACGGATATTTAAACTGAATCAATATATTGACTTTTTTTATATGGATTAATATTCATTAAACGTGGTACTTGTGTAGATCACCTACCGTCTTAAGAAGTTTGTTTCCTGGTCTTACAGAGTGTTTCCGGTTTATTTTTGCCAGGTTATCTACCATGACCAGGTGTCTGTGGAAATAGTGACTAGTTCCATCACAGACTAGTATAAGAAGCTTATTAAGAGGTAGCTGCACACTGCAGATGAGTGGCGTCCACTTTATTACACTATCGTTTTCTGACCCTACAAACTGCATAACACTTCTTTTTTAGTACAAACAGAGCAGTGACGGCGGGACTGTTGAAATGTTCTGTTTCTACAAAAACACATTTTTCTCCTTGGTGAAATTTTTCACCAGATCTTGGAACTGAAAGGTGTAATCATTCTTTTTAACCACAGCTGGTAACCTTGTCTTTTTTATATTTGTAGCAGATGAGGTATGGAAGGATTTGGCAGGTCCTCAGGAGTTCTGATTAAAGCTAGAAACTCCTGAAAACAGATGAGCCCTTTTTATTTAAACAGTTTTCCAATACAGCATATTTGAGGTTGGTGTGATGTGTTTTTTTTTTTTTTTTTTTTTGTTACAGATATTGGTAGGAACACACTGACTGGCTTTAAATGAATTCGTTTTTAAATCAACTCGCATGGAGTTCAGCCACTCGTAATCTGTTGACAGTTTCAATAATCTCACTACACACCTTAGTTTCTTTTGAGGTTGGAGGAAGAAGTAGTGGTTGCCTTCTTTACTTATAAAGGCCTCAATCCTGTAAACAGGATTTGGGGTTTCTGTACATGGGAAAGTTTCACCAGTTATACAGGTGTAGTTTAAACCGGTATCGTTATACTGGTATAACTCCCCATCTGGACACTCTTATTTTGGAGTAAGAATGGCTTTTTTTGGCTTAGTTTAAATCACTTCCAAAGTGAGTGTCCAGAATAAGTCTGTTCACACAAGGAGTTATACCAATATAATCAGTGGTTTAAATTTGTACCCTACTTTTTACTGGTATAACTTCTCTGCATAGAGAAGCTCTTACTCATGTGTTTAGGTGTTCACAGGATCAGGACCAAACACCGGTCATGTGAGGGCTGAGCAAAAGATACTGTCATTGCTGCTCAGTATAGAAACTAGAGGCTTAAAAATAGTTAATAAGGGAGGGCTAAGTTTTTGATTGAGGTCCACTGTGAGAGTGAAGAACAGTGAACAGAGTACATCCTCCATCACTTGCCTTCATTTTAAATCAATCTACCAAAAGCACATCCTTGTTTACTGGGGACATTCGGCACGTGCTTCTAAAGTTGCTGAATTTTAATAATCCTCTGCAGGTCAACTTTTAATTTTATATAAAGAATCATATACATTATATACTATCTATGTATCATCATGTGTGTGTATCTTTGAGTCCATCGGCCTGCACATACATTTTGTGTGTGTGTGTGTAAATAATTGGCCAAAGACTGTAAATTTTCATCAAGGGATTCTGATGACCACCTAAACAGAATGTTCCAGTCTTTGTGGTTGTCCTCAGAAATCCCAGGTGACATTTCTGTCTATTTCCTGGTTATCAGTTAACATATTGGAATTGTTTTAGATGAAATATCTGGTTTTCTATCTATACACCAAAAAGCATATGTATGTATAATATCCCATCACTTTTATTATGATTGTGTGATGTCTTACCTGCTGTATTATGATAATTTCCAGAAATAGAATACTGTATTGTGACATTCACACCAGACAGAGATACTCCTTTTGATTTTCTTGTTTGGAGATCCACATTTGTTGTCCATACTGATTTTTACTTATCCAGCACTCCCAGTCCCTGTTGGTCTGGGGAGTAAGAGAACAGTCTGTTCTCCTTTAAACAGAATCTACGCATGAATTTTTTAGACTTTTTGTTATTTCTGGCTCTATATAGTATTAGAAAACCTGATTATGCTGAAATGCAAGCCTTCTTCATCTAAGGAAGACTTTTTGACCGCATCACTAGGAGGCTAAAGAAGGGCACACTCAATTTTCAGCACCTTCTATGCCCAGGATTTTCATTAGAATCTGAGTGTTGGCACTTCAAAATGGCAATGTCTAAGTGTTTGGACTTGCTTCATAATCATTTACACACTGTTCTGGAACTTCTTTCAGGTACTGAGTGGGGGGTGGGAAATGCTGAAAAAGTTCTATGGCAAAATGGAGGCAGTTCTACAGTGGGTGAGTGACTTGAAGAAAGCTTCTTCAGATCATACAGATTTAATTAGTTTTATACAGGACAACAAAGCATTTCAAAATAATACTGATGGACAGAGGAAGAGTTTAATGGACTGGGTGTACCAGAGAAAACTGGAATATGCTTACTGAATGTCTGTCTTCTCTAAAAGACTTACCAATGTTCTAGGATCTTTGTTGCCTGCTGGAACTGTTGCCTTCATGCTGAGCGAAAGGCATCCCACTTAAAACAAACAAAACCCTTTTTCCTGGTACTATTTTTGAATGCAGAAATCCTCAGTTGCAACACAGACTGCTATAAATAGCAAGGAACTTAGAAATGCTGGAATTCGCATCTTCTCAAACTAAAATCTTTTTGGATTATATGTCAGCATTATTACAATACAAGAAGAGTTTTTATTACCTTAAACATAGCTCAGGGAACTCTGGGATTTTATTTTTGCTGTATCCACAAAAAACTGTTCCAGGAGTGAGGTGGTCAGCCATGTGTTTTGTAAACCTGAAGATGCTTCTGGTAATATATTAATTGTAGATGATAGAGTAGCTTTTTGACAGTACATTGTATTCTGTCTGAGAACTCTGATTCAGTTTAATTAGATCCCATGGTTTCATTGCTGTTAATCTTTTGTTTTTGCTAATATAATAGTATTTGGTTTTCATTATATATTTAAATCTCCCAGAAGGAATATGCAGTACCAGGGGAAGAGGGTGAGGGGAGTTCTTTATGGCAATGTGTTCTCTCTTGCACGTGTGATCAGATATTTAGAGGGACTGTACCTTGTGGGCACTTCCTGCCTTCTCATCTAGAGGTGGAGTCTGTTAATAATCCCTCCAAAACATCAATCCATCATCTGTGTACAACTCTAGCAGGTTTCTCTTTGGCTAGGTTTGCCTAAGATTTAATTGATCAAGATGATGTTACTATACTACTACAAGTGTACATAGTAATATGCAGTAGGTGAATGGTGCTCAGCCGGCCCCTGCCATTAAGAGCTGATAATGTAAAACCATAAGCAGAAAAATAATATGTTGCAATACACAGATAGAGGGGAGACCTGAGAGCATGGGACTTGGAATTAAGAACTTCTGAATCCTAATCCTTGTTTTGACACAGATATCCTTTTGTGGCCTAGGCAAGTCAGGTAGTGTTTCTGACTGTTTCCCCAAGTGGAAAACGGGTCTAAATCTTACCTACCTCACAGGAATGTTGTGAGGAATAAATAAAATTGTAAAGCTATTTGAAGATAGAAAGCACTATATTAGTGCTAAGTATTAGAACAAAGAGAAGTATATCATAGATGAGTTTTTAGAATTTTTTTTGGAAGAGAGAGACGGCGCTGTTCGGGAGTCAAGACTAGGTACATTCTTTCTGATATATTAATTATAATTGTTCTTTATGTACATGCTTTCCAAACAATGGTTTACAGCTGTTACTTTGTATAAATTTAATTGTAGAATTATAGTAAATTAATTTTTTATGTACTTTAGATGTTCTTTTGTCCTGTCTTCTCTTTATTTTGGATAAACTGTACACCGTTGAAATCAGTGATACCTGCACACTTCCTCTGTGTTCGTTTTATATATGTATATTCTGTGTAAGCGTCACGTGGCAGGATCTAGCATTGACAGTGCATCTAGGTCTTGGTTTCTTGGGCACACAACATTTGATCTTCTGTTTTTGTATGTTTTATTCCATAACTAAGTATATATAGCATTCTACTTTGAGACTCCACGTCAATAAAACACAAGTGCAAAATGTCTCATCTGTATGACAAAATGGGAATATATTCTCTTCCAGAACCAAGTAAAGATATGATGATGCTATTAAATGGTACTTTGAGTTGCTTAGTTTTCAGTTTCTTTATTTACCTGCATTTTCCCCACATTTAATGCTTAAACTGTACATGTGCCAGAAGATTTAAAAAGCAATCATTTTAATTGAGTGAGTACAACAAGTATTCCATTAATGTAGCTGAAGCATTTATTTATTTTTTATTTAGTGAAATGTCATGATTTTCTAATGTGGAGGGGAAGGGTCCAAAATCACATCTTGGGTTTTTCACAGAGCAATCAATATTTTCTTCGCTCTGTAGAATTGGGCATTTCCTGTATTGTTCTCATCATCAGCAATAATCATTTTAATTTATTTAGCACCTTTACTCCATAATAATTCTAGCACTGTTTATGAACTGAAAGAAAAACTACCCATTTAGATGTCACTTCACTCATCATATGTTTGAAACAAGGATCCAGTTTTAAATAACATAGTCCCGATTTTAGTTCAGAGACTGTATCTTTAGAGTTTTCATTTTAATTCCAGTTAAGGAGGGAAAATTGAAATAGTGTTTGGCACTTAGTGTTCACAAAACCCCTACAGTAATTGTTCCTATGGAATAGGACCTTGTATGCGTATTGTGCTTTATTACTTCCTAATCACAAAATGCTTCTTTTTCTTTAAGACCACTCCTATCGTAAAACCAGCACCAAAAAATCAGGTAACTTTGACAAAGGAGTTCCCTGTCTCATCTGGGTCTCAACACAGGAAAAAGGAAGCTGACAGTGTCTATGGAGAATGGGTTCCAGTTGAGAAAAGCAAAGAAGAAAGCAAAGATGATGTTTTCCCCAAACCAGCTCTTGCACAGGTAGGGAAGGGAAATAACACATCTTATTTTACAAAAAGAAAGTTGTTACCTGCTCGCTCTGGGATCTAGTGTAATCTTTGTAAAGAAATTGTTCATATCAGTAGTATTTGCCCTTTTAATGACTAAATCGGCTATCCTATTTTGGTTTTTGGAGATAGGCTGTTCATATGAGTGCTAATTATTGCAGCATATAGTCAGCCATGGTATTTCCGTCTGTCCATGGGTGACCTCTTAGTTTCTGTGAAATTTAATCTTTCACTTAAAAATAAAAACTAAGCTTCTAGCCCTTGCCATTGCCAAGAAAACCTTCCAAGCTTAGTCTTCCTGAACCAGAGAACCTAAAACAATAGTTACCAATGGCCTACCAATGTTAAATCAACATCAACTTGAAATGTAATCAATTTAAAAATATGATTTGAAAGTAGTTTTCAGTACTACATATATATATCTGACTGTGTCTGCCCATTTCTGTAGTTTTACAATCACATTTTCCTAAATATTTGTCTTCTCTTGTTTTTTATGTAAAACCCACAAAATGTAAAGGAGAAATTGACTATGTATAAAGTGGTGCTGTCAAATACACAAAATAAACAAAGTGGAAACAATAGAATAGTGAAATAGTAAAAATTTTATTTAATCACTTTCAGTCAAAGTAATATTTTGTGTTTCTTGTAAATATAGTAGGCAAAACAAATATTTCACCTGCAAGTGTTGGTTTTTTTCTTTTTAAAAACAAAAGCCTGTAACATTTATTTTTTAATGCCAGAACTCTGTTAGCTGGCTGTTTCTTACTGAATTAATATATTTTTAAATTTGACAAGTTCAGTATTAAAGGACTATGTGTGAAAAGCTTCATTGAATGTATTTTAGTACTGGTTCAGAATTACATTGAAATGCAGTTGTTTTTTACTATTTATTAATTTAGGAAGTATTAACAGGTTTAGAATCCTTGCCATGTAAATATCGGGAGCAAAAGAAAAACATTACAACAATGAGCTTTTGTTTAAAGAGACATTATACCAGAATATAAACATCTGATCTCTATTTAGGAGGACTTTCCCATATTACAGAGTGATCATCATTACAATACCTATGACATTTTGTTTTTAGTTATTTTATTTAATTGAGTAAAATCTCCGATTACACATATTTAACAGACCAGGATGTCTATCAAATGTAAATATTAAAAAAAAATTGAACAGGTGTGGTGGGGGTTTTTGCAGGTCAATGTACTTTGTCTGAGTATTGAATAAAAGGTAACTAAATATCTAAGTATCTATTTGTCCTCTGTCTATTTTGCTGAGTACATAACTGGTGTGTTAATTTTTCTATAATAACCGCCTTCCATATTTTTGAGACATTCCTCTACAGTTGGACTATTTTTCTTTTTCCAATGAGAGTCTATCAATAACTGAGGAGCTACTAGCAGATGAGAGATTAATTCTTCATTACTTTTTATGTGATCATTTCCTCTAGGAAGTCACATGAGGATTACCAAAGGATCATTTGGTAATAAATATCCAAAAATATTTGGTGATGGATTGCATCCCAGTATTCTCTGGTGACTGGGCATGTGCACCATCTATGCATAAAATCTCTTCTTTCACTATGATTTCTCCCAACATTTGTTCCCATTCAAGTGTGTGTGTGTGTGTGTGTGTGATGTATGTATGTATGTATGTATAACCTGACTGGTGTGAGGTACCATTGAAACAGTATCTTAAATAAATTTTCTTAAATAAATTTTCTTTTATTGTGCTGCAGACTGAAGTTGTTGGTACATTTTTCCAGATCAAACATCATTCGTCTGGTATAATTTTTCTGCCCAGGTCCTTTTCCGAGCATGTCATATATGGACATTTTTTGTTAGGAAAGTTGTCTGCAAAGATTGAATTAGTTATAACCTATTTGTTTCCTAATTGACCAGATGCCACCACTTCTATTAAAGTTAGGTTTCTGTATAAAACATTTTTTTTCTAAAGAGTTGAAAGAAATATAATGTCTAACTAGAAAGTACTGTTACCATGGGAGAGTGGGCCAGTTAAAGTTAGTTTTGATCTCTAAATAAGTTAGAAACGTTTCTTTGCTCAGTAGCGGGTGAACCATATATATTCCATGGCTCTCCCAATTTTTAAAGCTCTCTGGTTCGTAATTTGGGTTAATATCTGGATTATTTGCAGTGGGTATCATTTGGCAAGATAAAAGATCTTCTTTTATATCTAGTTCTATCGCAAATCTGTAGAGTAGCCTTACTATAGGATGTGTATAAATTTCTGGAGGGTGTGATTTTTTTTTTTTTTTTTTTTTTTAAATTAATCCATGGTAGCCTAGTGATGCACACACCACCACAATGTTCGTGCTCTGTAAAGTGTTTGGATGGGTTAAAGCGCCTACTACTGCTTTGGGCTGGCTGGCTTGATAGTACCATAGATTATTTGGAACCAGCTAGTCCATCCTGTTTTAATGGGTTTGTACAAAGTTTCTGCAGTTTCTTTTGGTCTTATTCCATATACATTTTAACAAAATCCTCTGTATTCCTGCTAGGGTTTTATCTGGAATCATCAAAGAAATATTTTGAAACAAGAAGAGTATCCTTGGCAAAATGTTAATTTTGACCCTAGCTGTTCTTCCCAACCAAAAAATTGCATACTTCCCCAAGCATGCCGTTTGCTGAAGTTGTGTTTGACATTTCAATCATAGAATTCTTCAAGACTATTTAAGATTTGAATTCCCAGGTGTCTTCTAGAATTCATTGCCCATTTGTACCCAAATGTTTTCTGAAGGAATAGCTTTTCAGAGTTGGACACATTTATAGCTAGGTTTTCAGATTTGGCAGGATTTACTTCAAATCTAACCCAAAGTCATAGATTTTTTTTTTTTTTTTTTTTAAGAAACTAATTTTAAGGAAATGTTTGGTTCATATAAAAATTACATTATCTGCATTTAAAGCTATTTTCTGATGTGTTCCTGCAAGTTTTATTCCTGTGATAGATTCCTTGTTCCTCATCGTTGTGTGAAAGGCTCCATGAGCAATGCAAAAAGTAAAGGAGACAATGGACATCCCTGCCTAGTCCCTCTGTATAATTCAAACATGAGATTTAACCCCAATAACTCGCACAGCTGCTTTGGGGCTGGTGTCGAGTAGTTTTTTTCCATTTAAGGAACTAGGGGCCAATGTCCCTATAGGACAGGGCTTGAAATGGAAAGCTCCACTCTGTTCTATCAACGGCCTTCTCTGCATCAAGTGATAATTAAAAAAAATGGATCTTTTCGTGATCTGGTATTGTGGATAATCCCAAGAACTCGCTGAATAATGTATGATGTTTGTCTATCCTTAATGTATCCACTTTGATCTGGATTTACATAAGCTGAGAGCATGGACTGCAATCAGTTAACTAGTATTTTTACTAAAATCTTTGTCATGATTCAACAGTGATGTGGGCTTATAAGAGCTGCTTAAGGTAAGGTCTTTTCCAGCTTTAGGGAGAAAAACCACAGTAGCTTCGTTAATAGGTTGTGGAAGTTTATCCTCTAACAAAATAGCATTGAAGGTACCTTTCAAGGGACCCACTAATACCTCCTTAAATAAAGTAGAACCCCGTTTATCCGACCCTACGTTACCTGGCTCTCCGTATTAACCAGACAACTAGCGCACACAAGTCCGGAAGTGGGCGATCTCTCTTGTGGCTGCCACATGGCGCTGCAGTCCCGCACTTTCCCATTCTCCCGATTATCCGATCTGGCCCCAGTTCAAATTAGATCAGATAAACTGGGTTGTGTTGTACCTTGTAAAATTCTTATGGAAAACCATCTGATCCTGGAGTTTTACTACTTTTCATGACTTGCTTTTGCCACTCAGATTTTTTTCTTTTTATTTCTTTATCTAAAGTTTATAATTTTTGTTTATCTTTGGCAAGCCTGCTACTTCCAGATATTTTTGAATAACTTTAGAGCTTGGAGTATCTGAGGTAAGAAGGTTTTATAATAAAAAGCAAAAGTAGCACATACTTACGCTCCCTGATGAAATACTTTTTTCTGATTGTTTTTAATTGGTGAAACAATATGTTGGTCTTGAATCACTTTTAGCTTTCAAGCCAATAGCCTATCAATTTTATTTCCTTTTTCAGAAAACATTTGCTTTGTATACCTCAGGGCCATCTGTCATGAACACATTCAATTTTCATATATATGTTAATTGTTCATACACTTTTTTGGAACCTGTGTTTTTGATGAAGGTCTTGTAGCCTTTTTATCTCCTGTTTTAGTTCTGCCGTTTCTTGAGCTCTTTCTTTTTTTCAGCTGAGAGGCTCTGCATATCAGTTGGCCCCTAACCAGTGCTTTACGTGCTTCCCAAAGAAGGCCTCTTTTTGTATTGTCTGTATCATTTATTTATACATCTTGAAGAAGCAAGCAGTTCATTTTCCAAAAGGTTAATGTTTGGGACCCATACCAGCTATCAAATATTGCTTCCACTGGTGCATATTCTGACCTAATGGTGCCAATTTCTGCAAATCTTGTCAGCTTCATTAAGGATTTAGAGATTAACATTCAGTCTAGTCTAGCATATAACTGATAAGTGTACGAATAACAGTGTAATCTCTTTCCCCTGGGTGTAGTTCTGCTTTCTTATCCCCTTTCTCTTTTTATCAGATCTGTCCCAGAAAGGATTCATGTATAATTTCCCCTTCTCCAAAGTGTTGCAGTATTTTAAAGAAGTCCTTAAAAAAGGTTTTGGGATTTTTTTTGCTTTCAATTGGGAGCATACACTAAACCCATTGTTATTAATAACACAGCAATTGTGCTGTTCGACAAGATAAGCCATCCCTCCTTTTTCTTAAATTGAGTATTAATCTGAAAAGATACACGTTTAGCAAATACTATGCCCACTTTTTTTTTTCTTTTTTCTTTGGCTGAAGCAAAAAATGTCTGAAACCAGTTACCTTGCATGCCCATAATTTTCCCCTCCTGAAAGTGAGTTTCGAGAGAGAGAAAATAATCTG